TCCTGGTGAGAGGAGTTGGAATGGAGGCAGGTAGTTAAACTGGAATCAAATAATTTGGGCTAGTGAAGGAAAAATGTGAAAACAAGAAATGAAAATGAGGTAGAGAAGCTTTAAACAAAGGAGGTGAGCAGGCGCTGGTTTAGAAGAGGGAGCCAGGACATGCTACTCCAAGGGAAGGACATTGGAGATAAGGCAGAAATGATAAGAAACAAGTCAAAGAATGGGAAGCACTTCAGGATAAGGACACGTCATGTTGGGGACAAGCGTTGTAATAATAGTGATAATGGGTGTTTGGTGAGTTTGTAGGTTATCTGTTTTCTAATGATGTGTAGGTGGAACATTGTGAACAAGGCAGAGAATTGTCAACAACTCTGAGAAGACAGCCAAGGCTTAGGACCAACTTACTACACCATGCAGAGGATTCTAGATTGTGTTTTAGGAAGATGACTTTGGAAGGCACAGTCATGTATGCATGGGCTCTGAGTGAATGGATTCCCCCAGTCACAGGGTAAAAACATTCAGAAAAAAACAATGTGTTTAATGAAATGCCACAGAGTGCCTGTGGAGATCAGAGAACAACTTTCGGAGTCTATTCTCGCCTTCTGTCTCATGAGTTCTGGCCATCAGCCTTGGCACCAAGTCCTTCAATCCGCTGATCCATACTGATGGCCTAACTTTTATTCTTGCTGCTCTCCAAACAATGTAGTTAATAACCATGTGCATACATTGCATGAATTATTGTAAGTAACCTAGAGATAATTTAAAATGTGAGGAGGGGACAGATTATATATGAACACAATTCCACTTTAAAGAGTGGTCTTGTGCATCTACAGAGTTGAGAATCTGGTTCCTGAAATCAAGAACCTGTGAACACCAAAAGACAAAGATATATGACCTTGTGAAATATAGACTGTTATGTCAGCTGCTTAGAAACCTGATTGTATTCATGGGGGAGGGTAAAAGGGGAGGGAGGGGAAGGGAGGAGAGCAGAGAAATATATAGCTCAATAAAAACAATTTAAAAAAGAAAAAATGATCATACAGTGTATTGGTCAGTTTTTCAACACTGCAACAAAATATCTGACAAGTTCAAGTTAAAGAGGAAAAGGCTTTTGGGAGTTCATGGTTGTAGAGGTGTCATATTATCACGGCAGGAGGGTGAGAGGGAGCAGAATTCACCTGCATTGCTTGGGAATAGGAAAGACAAGAGTACCAGCACTATGAGACTTTCTCCTTTCCCTTTTAGTCCATCCAGCCTTTGCCCCATGTGATAGTGTCTCCCATATTCAGGGTGGGGGTGTCCTCTTTATTTAAGCCTCTTAGGGAAGGCCTTCACAGAAACAGCCAGAATGTGCCTTTCTAACCTCCCAGGTGCTCAATCCAAGCAAGCCAGTAGTCAAGAACAATCATTACCCATAGCCTCATGCATCACCATGTAGCATGATTACTACATGGGAAAGACCAAGCTAATAGCAGCAAGACACATCGATACAGGTCTCAAAGAGGAAGGGATAACTTACTTTGTTAGGTAATTTTAAAGCTCTCAGAACAAGGGCTAGAGCAATGGTTTATCAGTTAGGAGCACTTGTTCATTGTCCAGAAGATACAGGTTTGAGTCTCAGTACCTACATGGCCGCTCATAACCATCCAAGTAACTCCAATTCCAAGGGATATAACATCCTCTTCTGTCTTCCACAAGCAGTGCATACACACAGTACACAGATGCACACGCAGGCAAAACACCCATACATATAAAATAAAATTTAAATTTAAAATGACGTCTCAGAACAAGACCAGATGTACTTCAAGGAACTTAAGGTACTTGCAAATGTGGCAGAAAGTTCCTGCCAGAAGGAAACAGCAGAAGAACAAAGAGACCACGAACTCTGGAAAGTGGCTTTTGAGAACTGGAAGCAAATACATTTACCAAAATCTCGAGACTTACCAAAGGAATCACTTAAAATGCTGCTGGTGAATCAATCGTCAGAACAGGGCTGGCAAGATGCTCAAAATAGAGGCATTTGCACCAAGTCTGATGTTTTGAGTTCCGCACACAGGATCCACGAGGTAGAAGGACAGAACTAACTCCTACAAGCTGTCTTTGTACTTCTATACACACACTAGGACACACATATATATGCACATATGAACACTCAAAACAAATAAATAAATTATAATCAAAATTTAATGTAAAGCATTGATTCTGCTTCTTTTCTTTAGATTACTAAAAATCTAATTATTGCCTTTTATTCTAAATTTTCAAAATGTATCATGCAATATATGTGCAAGTAGGAAAATGTCTTTGGGTCTCAGAGACTAAGCTACTCAGCCTGAAAAGAAAAATTTAAGCTAGAGTGCTCTCTTAGGAGCAATGCCAGGACCGACTGTCAGTTTGTTTTCATCTGTTCGTGTGCTAAAAACTCTGTCTGTAGATTCATTTTCTTTTCTCCATTTCTTCTTCTCTCACACATTGCATCCCCACTGCAGTTTCCTCTCCCTCCACTCCTTCCAGTCCACCATCCCT